CGCAGCCTCGGTTCTTCTTACCGCGTTCAGAGCCGTGCTGAAGTGCAGCACGGTGATGGTCACCACCACGGTCTGCAGCAGCACCGCCAGCAAAAGCACGACCCCGAGCTTCGACCCGGAGCCCGTCATGACGTCAGAACGCCGCCGTTCGGTCCGACCCGAGCAGCAGCCGCGTCGCGCCCGCCGCTGCTCTGAGTCGATGTTCCTGAGAGAAGAAGAACAATGGCAATGAGGGAGCAGCCTCCCGTTCTTCTACACCAAGGACGCGGAGAAGGAGGGGGCGGAGGAGAAAGAGCAGGAGGAGGAGCCGACCTGAAGAACCGGCCTCTCTTTCCCACTGTCAACTTCTCCTGCCCACGGTGTTGTTTCATATCTGAATAAACACTGATAGAGCTGTTACTGCTGCTGCTGCTGCTGCTGCTGCTGGTGCTGCGGCTGGTGTCGCCGGTTGGGGGGGAAAAAAACAACAGCAAAGGTCCAGACTGTGGGTCATCAACCTGTTCACACACAGACACGTTCAACTCTCTGTCCAGATTTATCCAGCTGACCCTGACTGACCACAGGGGGCAGCAGTGGGCGGCAGCGCTGTGTCCCTGAGCTAACATCGCCGCTTTACAGTTTATGGACTTTCATTTAGGATTTCTGTTTTTGCAGCCAATCCTTTTTCACGTGTCTTCTGTGTTCGAGAACAGGAGAGGGCGCTGTCGTTAGCTTAGATGTCCTTTACAGTAGACTATCTGGAATATATGTGACCTCAGAGTTGTTGGTACGACAACACTAGCCCTCGGACCTTTGTCGTTATTGAATATTTCATTTCCAGACGAAGATAAAAAAAGGTCGATGTTCTTCTACAATAATAATCTAATCAACTATAAACCTTCACTCAAGCTAATATATAATATATATATATATAACCCTATCAATCAGGGGTCCCCACGCCCCCCCACCCCACCTCCCAAACAGCCCCTGTAGCAGCTCTAACTGCCCCGACATGTCGTCTGTCCGCCTGAAAATAATCTTTTATTTTTAACTATATTTTTAAGAGAACATATGAAGATGAGATGTTAAGGCGTGTGAAGTGAGGCAGACAGAAGAGGGCGCTGTGACAGGAAGTTCCCACTTCTGCAGTCAGGACGACTCAGCCTAAAAATGGATGCTGGGCCGTTTTGGCTCCTTCTTGAATTTGCAACATCTGGCCTCAATCTGGCTCCTACGCCTCGTCATCTCCCCGGGGAGCAGCTCTGAGCTTAAGGTTTCACTCTGCTCCACCGGCCTGCCTGCGGGGGCTGCAGGGGGTAACGGCTCCGTGAACTGTGGGGTGAGAACGATGTGGCGGCTCCGCTGCGTCCACCAGGAACCGTCTTCTACAAACATGACTGGACCTGACACCTGAGGCAGGTTCAGGGATACACTGAACCACAGCCAACCCCCGCCCCCTCTTTTTTTCTTCAGGGGCTTCAGTCTCCTAGATGTGACTGTGCAGATGATTTCAGGCCCCACAGCGCGCTCACTGTTGCCCCCCCACCCCCACCCCAGTGTGGGGCTGAACAGCAGCCAGGTTTTGATAGTGATACAGTGTGGAGAGCTGATGGACCCACTCCCCCACAGACCCACCCCCCCACACACCCCCCCCCCCACACACACCACCCCCCCC